GAATTAAATACATGGGAGCAGCTGCATTCATTTTAAACTAGTTAAAATTTGTGGGACACGTCATCGCATGCCTGCACGCCATGATTGTGAGGTGCGACCGTATAAACAGTGACCAATCATTAGCCTCTGTTTGTTTAACCTAATCCTCCATCCTGATCATGATTAAGCTTCCTGCGTTACACTTTATCCGCAATATCCGTACTGAATAAACGTGCTCCGTGCTACACGTCTGTTTCCTTTCATAGCTGGGCCATAGCTTAGCTGGTTCTGGGAGTCTAGCTAGATGTTGGAGAATCTGCCATAGAGATTTCTGAGTCGGTCAGGCTTTACTAGCGTAGCAATCCGCTACAAATCACTCCAGTATGGCACAGAAATAATATATGGCCAGTTTTAATCATCCACTAAGTTTCGTTTTTTTTTCAACGGTTTAGAAAGCACGTGATCTTACACGATATTGATCAACTTGGAATCTTAATTATAACTTGAATTAGCTTCAAATCCACAGCTTTTAATTGCGAAATATCTCAATCTTTGCATACGCTAAGATACTGCTGAACCTGACTTATTGCAAAGAAAAAACTCAGAATAACAATAAAGTTTGTAATTTTCAAGAAGTTGAATTGACTTGAGCAATTATTCCATATATTAAATGAATTTAATGCTCACATGACTTAATTTAAATAGTAAGTTGACTTACGACAGTTCCTGAACTGGTCAAAGTTGGACTGAAGAAGCATATGTGCCAAGAGAAGGTAGAAATTTCCCAATTCTTTACCCTGACTTGCTGTCCAGTTTCTCAGGGCGCTCGCCTAGAGGATAAGTAAAAACAAACGGACATTATCGGGCAAGCAATGTTGGGTCGCAATCGGTAGCTTAGATTCTAAGTATAGGGACAAGCAGGTATACCGTTGGCCACATTTAGTCGGGCTTATCTGGGCCAAATTGAAGTCTTTAAATATTATTTGGTGAGTAAACACTTTTTGATAAACAGCAAAAACTGGAAAACCTAATATCTACTTACATTTGCAAGAGTAAACTAAGTTTTAATTATATAATCAATAGTATGCTACATTTTTTATCCAAAATTCGCACTCAATGTTTTTTAAGGATTAACGTTATAAATAGTTATAAATTATCCTATTTTTGCGCCAAAATTTCGAGCACCATTCGTTTTAACTAACCCAGGTAGGAAATCCAGCGTCTTTTTGTGGTGAGACAATTGAAGGTACAGCAATTGAAAGCGGTCCAGCTTCTGTTCCAATAGACGTTGAAATGGGATTGGGCGGAATTGGTGACAGTGCTCCTGTGTCGATTGATAAAGTTTCCTCGTGTTCAGAGTCCTCCTCAACCAAGAAGCAGAGTAGACGTCGTGTTCCACTTCGATTGCTTAGGTGGACACTGGCGTGAGGGCAGGTTTCAACATAACCCCGAAGGAGACCGAAGTAGGAACCACAATGGTGAGTGTATGTCGGCACTTCAACAGAGAGTAGGTCAAGAAGATAATCCACCAAATTATTGAGTGCCGCGTCAAGCTGGAAATAAATATTAATTAAATAAATTATCCTTCCCATCATTAGTATGGTAATTTCAATCCAAAAGCACCACATGAAAAGGACGACAAAGAATAAGTTTCCCTCCATAAAGTCTCTGTAATGCTATTTAATGCCATAGCACTGGATTTCAAAGATTATTCAAGATAATCCGATGCTTGGATCTTCGACTGAATTCATAGCGGAAGATGGTTCTTTCTATAATCCTTGGCAATTGAGCTAAAGCCCATAAATGGTAAAAGCGGTTTTATTACCAAATATGGTCGGTAAGAAACCATCAAACTGCAAGCTTAGCTAGCAACTCATGAAAATGACGACATAAAAAATATTCAAGTTATCAACTGTTATCGACAAATTTTTATCGAAATTGGTTAGCAAGATTACACAGTTTGGGAATTAGTTGCGTTTTTCTTTGAAACATGCAGTAGGCTTTGTTGATAGTTCTCGTTACATTCATTTTCAATTCTAATCTTTACAACGTTACAGCAGTTTAAGGTACTCACGCAGCAATTCCATAGATAGGTTGGTGGAATTCGGAACTCACCTATTTGAAGCCCCAGGATAAGTGATGGAAAACGTTTTTCCAAATAATCACTAAACCCAGTTACCTACACTTAATAATTATATTTAACGAGGTGGGGTGTGCGATAGACTTACCTCCACGTGGTGCATCCTGGGCAACGTATACTCATACGGCAAAAAAGTCTATTAACCGGCAGTTGACTTCTGACTTCAAAATACCATGGCACGACTGCTTGTCATATTCGACCGCTTTCACAGTACTCATCTTACCCTTTTCTTTGCCTTTGTGTCTGTCTGCCTCTTTTACATCTGTGAATCGCTCTTCTGTTCCCCACCCCTAGACTTTCTGCTACTTTGATGAACCTTCCCTCTGTGAAGCCCGAAGTCAATTAAAGGGCTAATGATAGCTATGAAAACGCCTGCCATTTGAAATAAATAAAATATTTAACGAGGTTAACTGAATTATGGGGAATTAACCCTTTAACGCCCTAGGACCGTATGGTTCTCTTTTATTATAGGCTCTATTGATACTAGACACGTTTAAACCATTTTCAATACATTTCTTTAGCCTCCGTCTGATACCACCAAAACTAGTCACGTCGGCAGTATCAGCCTGCGGTGAGACGCATGAGAGAGGTGACACATGATCTACTTAAATAGGCAGTCCTCTTAGGAAATAAGCTCCATTGGCACAAGACTCATAATTGAAGGCACTATTGGCCTTTTGAAATATGTTCACTGCATCTCTGTAGCCCTCGCCTGATACTGCCGATACTCATCATGTCGGCGGCAACAGACATGAGTGATTGCGGTTGGGTGCAGTTTTCAGAAAACTAAATCGGGTGCTAAAGCGTTGAAAAAGAAATTTCATTCCATAGATAAGCTCATAACTCAGTCTGAGTGAAAATGAGACGGTATTTTATGCGCACCTTAGTTCAATTTTACATTTGCCGTTTTTTACTGTTTGTTTGGAACATTGACCAAAAACTAGTTTTTAAATGAACTTATTTGCATTCCGCTTGACAAGCCAACGAATTGCGACCTGTCTTTGGACAATCATTTATCATTTCGAAATTCGAAGTCAGCCCATAATTTCAAAAAAAAATCGTATAAATATTAGTATTTCAGTCAAATTAAGTTTCACCAATGCAGATACCCATTTCAGACATCCGAAACATTTGTATACCCAAGTTGGCAAAAAACTGATTTTTTCATTGCATTTTTTTATCAAGATTCGAAATTGATACCGCAAATTTTGGCTCTGAGAAGTGCGCAAAGATTTTTCGAATTCCAAATAAATGCCTCAACAAGAAACTTCACCAGCGATTTGAACAAATGTGTAACAAAACACACACCACGGCAGTATTAAAACTAACAGCTCAATTATTTCTAAATCATCGATTTGGATTTAAATTCCAACTATATCACTGAAATAATTGAAGCCTATTTTAAATAATTAGAGGCATCATTTATAAAGTATTACAAGGAATATAACATGTTGAAGTAGTCAGGTAAACAGTAAGTAGAATTGGTTGACACTTGATCGAAACCAGGATCAGGCTTAGTTTAACTATCATCATCTGATGGAAGGAGCAGAAGTATAGCGAGTATAGCGCTTATTGGATTCATGATCCTCTCAGGCATGTACAGTAATTGAAAGCAAAATAATCGATAGTTATTAACGGTTGCAATGAATGCACTTATATAATTTAACAACAAAATGAAGGAACAAAATAGATTGACTCTAGAATAATAAACGACTAGATCGAGATCATAAAGAAATTAGGACATATTCTCTTCAATTATAATTCCCTTGTTTGTAATGTGAGGGAAAAATTACTGAGCAAATCAACTCATATTTTGTTTCTCAAGAGACCTCGGTGCTAATCAGATGGAACTTGCATAACCCAAAGAATGGAGTAAGTATTGACGAAGAGAACCTAATCCAAACCAGAAAATTTGTTTTTAAGACTGAAATTTTCCAATTTATTTTAGTCATCCTTTCACTGTATCATACTTTTATCTTCAATAGATACTTTTGTTAACATGGGCTAAATAGCATTTGGGCATTATTCAAACCTGAATAAGATAGATCCACGAGTCTCGCCATGCAAATTAATTGGAATCAACTTGAATCAATTTAGCAACACTGATTGCATAGAGATAAGTACCCTTTTGATCATTTTCATATTAATAAATAGTTCATACACGAAATTATGCAATATACTCCCATTTTACTTTATAATTAAATGAATCGTTGGGGCTAAGTAAATTAAAATATTAAAGAGCTGTCAGCATATTTTGAATATGTGGCTGAATAATGGACCGTCAACAAGATTGAGTACACTTTCCTATAATTCATTACCGAGCAAATTTATTAGATCTAGCGCACTCAGTGTATGTCGCATACCCTCGTTAGTTAAGTCAAAATGATGAAACAACTCCACTGTCCATAAACGGCGCTTATAATGAAATTAAAGTGTGGTGCTAAACTTTGGACCAAAATAATTGTGTTGACTGGGTCGGGTAGCTTTGAAATTAATGAGAATTTAGCTTTCTTAACGCTGTATTTATGTGGCTAAGTCGCGCTATACTTTTCAGTTCACATGATCTATCATGTAGCACATGTGTTTATGGGTTACGATTTTTAAGGCCAACAGTAGACAAAATCTAGATGTTTGACTAACCAACATAATGGACATATATTAAAGAGGCAATCGATGACTTCCTGTGCTTTGGAACTGACATCATATCCATGACGGTTGTGATCATTTCAAGGCACAAGAGATGCAAAACTCCCAATATCTAATACAATAGGAAATCTATTGAGTGGCTTACTCACATTTGTTTATTAATTGAACTTAATTACCTACCTCCTTCGTAATTTCTATGACTCATCCCCCTTTTTTGACCTCAAAACTCCCAATCCAGTATCACGCGTTATCTATCACTTTTGATTAAGACTACCATTTAGCCACTTTCAATTTACTATTGTGAAGATGCGCTTTCTCTCTATCCTCTCCTAGTGTAAGCAACCTCTTTCATACCCCCATCAAACTTCTCAGTGAGAAATTTCTAAATCTAATTACAACTATAGCTCAGCCTCACGCCAGTGACACTTTCTTTCATTAACAACAGCCCACTTTCCAAACAGCTTTACTTAAATAAAAAAGTTCAAATTCAGAGACGAAGTGAATTACTTCCTGCATGAACTATGCAATATCACTTTCATTACAATCTTAAGACTAGTAATCGTTAAAAAGTCTACTTATTATGCATAGTCCGATTAAAGTAGTATCACTGACATAACAATAATTCTAAACATCAAATTCACCATAAAAGACACACACAAAGCATATTTCTTGGTTAGGAAAGTTAAATACGGAATCCAAACAGTTGCTCTCGTGATTCATAATTTAATAAAAAAAACAAAATGATAAGAACCATGACTTCTAGTAGCAATGAAGCAAAATTTTCCACAACTTTGAATAAAGACCACACGTATATATGAAAATGTAAGAGAATCCAGCTGAAGCTTAAGAAATATTCACCAAGAAAGGCAATTTGATTCCAATTTACTAAGCTAATTTTGCAACAACATTAAAAGCGAAATAATTTGCATTCATTTCAGTTAACTTCTAATTTACTCCCCGGAAATAGTCCATTCTTCAATTCCGGATTTTGCAAACTCATACCAAAAATGGAGTTCTAGAAAAGCATATAATTTTAAAATTTTATTAAAATGGCCTTTTGCAATAGAGGAACCCGGAAATTGACAACTAGATCATTCTCGTATAAGAAGTATAAAGGAGTAAAAGTATTGATTTTTTGCTGAAACTTTGAATTGAACAGGATTCCGTAAAGTAAGCTAAACTTCAATACAAATGAAATTTTTTGGCCTCCGTGCAATTGACAGTTCATTCTTCTATTTAATGATTAGAAAGACTTCTTGTTAAGGGAATTGAAGCAGAAATGGAACAATTCTTTGCCAGGAAGTGAATTAAAAGCAACACATAGAAGACTGTGGTTCTTGTAGAAGAATAAATATACAAAATTATTAGAATGAATTGATTTCATTCATTTTGGAACTCTGCTTTGAAATGAGTGACTAATTAAATTTGAAATGCTTTATATCTTTCAAATGAAAATAGTCTGGTCCATTTACCCAAATAACTTTTAAATACGTTTAGTGAGTCCCCTGAATTATTGTTTTTCCTTATGCGTATCTTACCTTGATAGCATCTTTGTTAACAGTGCCCATTTGGTTGCTGAAACTTCTGTAGTCTGTGCGCTTCCAAGTATTTCGATTCTTGAATTTATGTACGAATCGAATTCCATGAATATGCAGGTTCTCAAAGATTGGTTAAAATACTCAACTGCATTCCCAAAACCATTAAAAGAAACTTTGATTTGACATGTATTTTATATGGTTGATATTTGTATCACTTTCTTCAATCGGCTCCAAAGACATGGATTCGAGACCAAAGAATCTTTTGAGAATTAGACAGAGAGACATGCGAACGAATCAACTTCTCGTTCAACGATTGCATTGACTGTCTACACTTTCGATTAGACCCTAAAATCTGAAACATGAATATAACGACCAAATGATCCTCAGAAGCCCTTCATTCGTACAAAGATATTACGAGTCAATACACTCGTACTGTAGTGCTTGTTAGAGCTCTAGTTCATCAAAAATCAAACACTGAAACCCAAATTGCTCAAGATTTTGGACTTTTTCCTATTTAAAAATACAATACTTTCTTCTAATTCACGTGAGTTTCAAATTAAGCATAGTAGGAACATTTGAAAACAGTAAAGTATGTAGCAGATCGATACATTTATAAGCCTCGACTTATCCTCAGTAATCTCTACGACAAAATACCGTAGTAAGGAAGGGCTTCTGAAGTCAACTAAGCTACCTACACGATATAGGGAAACAGATGTATTGCGTGGAACATTCTTATTTGGGCTGTAAGTTGGGTTGTGTGGGTGATGACATGGAGCTTAACCATTAGACACTGTTTGGGTACGATTACTCTAAATTTACTATTAATTTCAGATTGGTCGAGGGGTTTCTGCCCTCGTGATCTCATTTGCTCTTTTGTGTGATCAACTTCATATTCCAGAATGTTCGAACACGCAAGCACTTCTCCAGCGTAGCGTTATGCTCCCCACAAATAAATGCAATACATTATGAAAGAAGGTATGTTTTTACTTTAGTATTACATTTAGATCCGCATGTTTTCTATTTATGAGAGAATATTGCATGTAGATTTTTTAAGTCAGTCAAAATAGCTTATATCGGATAATAATTTACCATATTTCCAATGGCTGTTCATATTTATGGCATTTAAAATATTCAGTTTCAATGTGGTTATTAATCTATTAATTTTAATTAAGAAAGTATAAAATGAAATCAGTAACAGATATCGTATTTCAGGCCATAAATTTATTTTTCAGCAATTATTCTCTCTTGTAAAAGGTATTTTCCAAATCCCCTAAGTTACTCTTTTCTTCTAAAGATCCTCAAATTGACTAACATTGGATCGACACCAAACGTTTGAAGAAGACATTCTGGGATATATATATAACGTCTTAATCATAACACACAAATGAATTTGGTACTTTAACTCCTTGCTGATCAAAGAACCTGAAGACTAGTGGTCCGGTTGATAGGACAAAGGCAATATCTGCATTTTTGTGGGCACTGCCATACAATTGATGGCCTTGCATTTAAATGACATTTGGTTCAACTCAGTTTAAGTTGCCTTTTCAATTTACAGAAACTGGATTTGACCATATTGGATGTTTTGACAACGGAAGATCCGTTTGACATTTCAAGATCGATTTGCTTTGGTCATAATCTTGGTCTTTGACGATGAAAAATGTTTTCAAGCATGAGTCCACTAAAAATGCGTATTCCACTATTATTCCTATAAAATTTGGAAGTTATTTATTTAGAAAGCAATCATAGTTACTCGTAAAACTTGACCTAGACTAGTGCATGGGGTAAGAAACTATCTTCATAACACAGAAGAGTCTTAATAACCATCTTTCATTTATAAAGCTCGAATACATTGCGCGGATCCGTATTCCTAACAACAATTCTAATCCAAATTCGGAAGCACCAAATAGAAAGAGTTTCCTGTTTCCGAACTGAACGCGAGCATAGCTAGAACGAGTTTTCAGCATTTTATTGAAATTAAGCGAATGTGCATAAGTTATACTTACGATACTTGCGTCCTTTGAGGCATAGAATGTGCTCAGTACAATTCCGACAAGCCGAGCAGATTGATGTCTCAGTTGGGGTTTTGGGCACGCAAGCACATAATTCCTGGAAAAACATCGAGACTGTGTGGTTTCATTAAAAATTTTACTTAAATTCATTAAGTAGAACCTACAAAATAGGCTTGGTTGGTGAGCGAACAAGAAAGCCCAGCGACCAGGAAATAGCTTGCGCATTTGCAGTCATTAAAGCAAGTAGGGTTTCCATCCAATGGGTGTCCAACTTCGTGCCTGCTTCTTGAAGACTAGCCTGTTCTGATGCCGAGGTATGATGGTGACTTGACTTCTCTCCACCATTCTGAGGTGCTGGTGCACAAAGACCGAGGAGTCGTTTGCAAAGTTCTGGTGAAATTGACACCTTCACGGAGGCGTGGAGTGCCAGATAGGTGGCAAAGAGAAAGTTTGCCACCATTTGACAGCCCATTATTGCTCGCTCCGGTTCCAGTTGCAATGCAGCTGTGTCCACCTTTAATAAATTTGTCAAATGTTGAGCTCATCTCCTTCGGGGTTTGTACTTGTAAGACAAAACCGAATCTAACTACTAATGTCTCCAAAATTTCAATATTTTAGTTAAATTATTAATTATCATTTATTATTAGGAAAAAGTACATTCTCTTTTCATTTCCCGAAAGACTTCGAGTCACCATTCTACTGGAATCTAGAATGAAAGAATGAAAGCGATTTATCGGAAACCATTGTAAATAGTCATTCTTCAACAACTTTTAGGTTTTTCAACTTTGAAAAAATTTCGGCTAGGATATATTTCTCAGAACCTCTAATTGTCAGTTCATTTGTCAATTCATCCAAGGTGTCTTATTGGCCTGTTTTAATTTAATTGCAGTAACTCAAAAACATCCTTACTCAATTTTATACCAGTCGCGATCTGCGCCTGTATGCCTTAAAGGAACTTGAGGGTGTTTCGTTCCATCTGAAGAGCATTAAGTGAACAAGAGATTTGGTCTTGCTTGTAAATAAGTAGCTCCGTACTTCAGAAAACTTTTTCGTATATCTTTAAAGAATAGATTGTAGCCTCAGTGTAGCGTTTAGCGTTGCAATGTACTTAACTCCTTAAAGCTAAGATTTTGGTTTTGTACATGAGTAGCTGCTTCAATCATTCAATCATGCTTTAAACACTTATAGGGGAGCTTAACCTTTTTTATTAATCTTCTCTTTTTAAACGCCTCGAATTATGCGTACCCTCGGAATGGCTGATTTTAAAAGACTGAGTGGTAATAACGGTAGTCCCATATTTAATCTAAATATGAAGTTGAATCGTTTAAATCAACAGGATTTTATGTTCTATTTCAACTTGTCAACAAACTGTATTTGGTGATTGAGTACTTAAGAACTTGTTTTAAAAATAAAGAAAATTTCAAATGCTTGAAAGAAAGTAGTCATTTACTGCATCTGAGTTATATATAATTCAAACTGATTTACTTTAGATGGGTTTTGCAAAGTCGATTGGTAGTAGAAGGATATTCTACTTTGAAATACTTACAAGCACTCCTTGGGCTAGGTTATACGTGAAACTGACATAATCCGGTGAAAGTATACTCTGATCTCTCAAGAATGCCAGATTTTGTTTTCTAATCCGATGAAGCATTTCATCAGCAGACGATGAAGCGTTATCAGCGTTGGTCCCACTACCTGCAGTCGGAAGCGTCGAATCCACTGGAGAGTCAGAGCGTATCTCCCCAGTCAATGAATCCTTTCTGCCATCTAATCCACCATTACTTCCACTGAGAGCAAAAAGACAAGTGGAAGATGGTCTACCACTTGGAATGGGAGAAGCACGAAGGTGGTTGGAAGTCTGTCCCAAGGAAAGTTGTGGTTGACGCGTTACAGATGTGGTGTTTGTTGAATTGGAGTGGAGAGGTCGACTGAATTGAACTGATCGGTGGCTCCCTCGTGGCACAGGACTATGAACTAGGTCAACGGAAAACCGGGGTTTTTGAGAGCGTCCTTCGTCGACTAGAAGAAGAAATGAATAAATACCGAGTTGGTTTAATTTGTGTTATATGGGTCAAACGTTCAGTGAGTAAGTATACATGATAATGTGCATTGTTATTGTAAATTGAAGTTATGTTTGCTGCTTTGAGTAACACAAAAGTCATGCGCATTCATGCTAAGCTTTTAGTGTAACTAGAACGTTGGATCGAACTATCCCTTGAAGCCACTTATAATTTCTCCTTTTAAAATATGCTGAAATGCAGTGGGAGAAAAGATAGTGAAAAAGAAAACAAAACTGGTATCATTCACAAATTAGTGAAAAGCCACAACATCGGAAGTGTCTTCTCTGCCTCGGATCAATTATATTCAATGCTGCAAGGGGATGCTGGAATGCAGGCTGCAAACGTAACAATGCACTTGAAACTGAAAATGGTAGATAGGTCATGTTTCGGGAACATTCTGTGAGTATTTCTCTGGAATTGTACGCAATGGACAAGTAGGCAATAACTCTATAAACAAAAGGATATCGTGCAAATGCATTACTGTCTGTTAATTCAAACAAAATTCGGTATTTATACACGGCATATAAGTAATTAATTTTTCTTCAAAAGTTCAAAGAAAAACTCAGTCGAAAGAGCATTACACGAATGCAAGGAACTTACAGGAAAAGGACGATTGGCAGAATTTCAAAAATTGACCTTGTGAAGTGTAATTGTTTGAAAAGTTAAGAGTGTCCACTTTATTTAATCAGCAATTATAACACCTACTGATTTACAATTAACGTGAACCGTGTTTATATTCGTACAAAACAAACAGATTTAGACCTAAGGACTGGTGTGTTCAAATTCAAATATCACTTTCTTTTGATGTTATTATCCTCATTAGATTGGCATATAGTGGCGATTATACTTGCAGTTTAATGTGCTCAATTCAGCCCATCTTGATGTTCAGACAACCAAGGAGCAGTAAAATACGGACGTTCTGATATTGGTAAATTATACATTCATGACAGAAATTTTTTAAACAACTCCCTTCATAATCATTAGTAGGTCTATTCCTCCTATAAATATATAGTATCACTTAAATCAGTATTTGGAAAACTAACGTTTATGGTAAACGCGGGTGCGCGATAGACTTACTTCCACGTGGTGCACACTGGTCAACGTATACTCATACAGCAAAAAGTCTATAAATCGGCAGTTGACACCTCACTTTAAACTACCATGACCCAACTGTATGCCAAACTCCACTATTTCCACAGTATCCTCCTAACCTTACTCTCGACCCTTAGTCTGTCTCCCCTACATCTGCGCATCACTCTTCTGTTCCTCCTTTCTACTTTTTGTGACTTTGATGATCCTCCCCTCTGTGAAGCCCAAATTCAACTGACAGACTAATGATAACTATCAAAAAGCCTGTTATTCGATGTAAATGTTCATAGACGTTCTTATTAAGATAGCTTACGCGTGGAAAAGAGAGATTTTTCAAAACTGAGAGAGCTATGTCGATTTCGTCTTAAGCCGAGAGTATTTAGAGAGGATCGCTTCTTTATGGATGCCCCTGATGGGTGCCTCGAACGTTGATTATCCCCGGATTGCAAGCTATTGTAAGCCACTTGCGCAGAGGTTGTAGTAGGAACCCGTTGGTAGAATAGTAAGTAAGCACTGTAATTGCGTGTTCGTTTTTCTGGTGGTCGACCTTGAAACAGGCGCATAAATCAGTAAAATTTTAATTAAAGGCGTATATAACTCATTTTCCACAAATTATTTATTTTTTACATAAAAATAAATACTGTTAATACGAATTTAATTTATTATATAGATAATCATCTTTATGCTTACTTACCTTTTACTTGTGAAGCACTGACAAGTTTATGGCATTTTTGAATATAGGACTTATTTGTTTTAATAAAATAATAAATGGAAGTAAAGTATTAATAAAAAATGCACCTGGAGTTTCAGCGAGGTATGTCCCTCCAAAGCATTCTTGCTGAAGAAACTCATCTGTCATATCGACTTCCTCAATATAGGTGTCGTTGAATTTTAACCATCGTTCAGGTTGGCTTGCGTCTTTGCCAGTGGCGATATCATCTGCCCCTTGGGTTAGAGTATCGGCTAAAAGTTTACAAATGTGAATGACATATGGTACTTTCAGACATAGCGATATAAAGGTAGGGAATGCCATCTCTGCATATTAAATCGAAGGCGGAAGGGCGACTTACTTCTAACGAAATTGCGAATTGGATTTTGAAAATTATGTGGACCCAACATGGCGGTTATTGATTGCGATCTCTCTCGATCAAAGCCTTTATATCTGCAAAAGATGATCATCAAAATAAGTAAATAAAGTTAGAGTAATTTTAAATTTTAACAACCAACATTAGCACAGACTGTTAATCTCGTCTGAAATTTACAGTTAACTGACCTGAAATACACGTGACAGCTTTTAACCGATTTTTGCTTGACTACAGACAAACAATCAAAAAGAGGCATTCATTTAGACAGTAGAACTGAACAAAGTATTTTAGTTGAGAAATCTTAAGTTGCTACATTGACTACCACAGGGATTAAGTCACTTTTAAAGATCTATGATTATCATGCGTCAAAAAGGCGAACGGAATATCTTCTTAACCTTATTGTCAAGAAATGCGATATTTTTCTTAGAAAACCCGACTATACGTACGGTTCCATTCGTCCCCGATCTCTGATAAATGAGTAGTAATGTCCGGCATGTGCTTGTCCTGAATGAATGACAATTCCAGTTAACTCGTAGACAAAGCATGGCGATTGGGCATCAATGGACTCTGAACGCGAGGAAGGAAGTTTCAACAGAGAGGAACTGCCAGCACGAGGGGGGACTAATTCTGTAGGAATTAGTTGAGGCTCCTTGGCGCTTTCCTCCTGCTCATCTTCCTCCTAAATTGATTAAGAATTCCGTATGCCAAAAAATGCATTAGTTTTCTTTACTAATACCGACTTACATCTGGATCATAGAGATGAAAACCCATTTTTCTAGATTCTGTTGCTGCTTCCATGGAGTTTTTCTTTGCAGTGTCAGTGAAAAGATTCGATTGCATAGAAACGCCAGAAGGTAACTATAAGTAACAAGGTATAATTATGCGCTTTTTGAGCATTTAATTATATTATTACGTTAAAATGGGGTGCGCTATAGCCTAACTTCCACGTGGTTCTCCCTGGGCAACGTAACTCCATACAGCAAATAAGTCCATAAATCACCAGTCGATTTCTGATTTCAAATTATCATGACCCGACTGTATGCAATATTTATCCATTTCCACTGTAATCGCATCACCTTTTCCCTACCTGTGTGCCTGTCTGTATATCATATCAACGAATCACTCTCCTACTCTCCCCTATCAACTCCTTGTGACTTTAATGCTCATCTCCTCTATGAAGCCCCAAGTCAACTAAAGGGCTAATTATAACTAGCATAAAGCCTGCTATCTGAAAAAGATAAATAATTTTAAAATTGAAAGCTGCAGGCTGTCATAATAGATCATTAGCCTTCTCATTCATTTTGGAAAGAGTAAAGTGAGACGCGAAAAAAGCCTTTCTTGATTTTTACATTACCAATTTAGATTCCTTATGCGCGCTGCATTGTGCCTTGTGCCTATAAACTAAATGAAAGCGGACTATTTGGGACTTTGACATTGGTTGGTTATTCCCGTCACTAGATGTGCGTTGTTCGCTCCACCTCCGATTTGACTTACACGCTGAGAGACACAATAATGAAGTGCACTTTTCAAAGACTACTATTATATCCACAAGAAACCGGTTTATTTTGGATCGATAAATTATATCTTTTATCCACAGCTCTTTCGTTTGATAAAATATTGGAATGCGCAATCGGTTTAACTCACATACTTTCACCACCAAAGTGTTGATGAGAAATAACGTCGCCAACATTTCCAATGTTTTACTTTCGGAAATGTTTTTCTAGACCTTTGTTGGTGGATTATCTCGAAGTTCTTTTTACCAATGTGGAACTGTTCTGGGAAAGAAGACTTAACATATTGTAGTCGAGCTATTTAATGATTTTATGGGAAAAGATAAAGTAACCGAAACCTCTTAGTGCAGCATAAGAGGATTAAAATGATTGAAATAATCACAGTACTATTTAGGTGAATTAGATTCAATGAAATAGCTCGATTAACTTTGAGCCAGAGATTAAAGGTATGTATGGTTTTGCTTTGTCTTAAGATGACCAATTTCTAGAAGTAGCTTTTGTATCACTCACCAAACTCGGCAACAAAGCAACGATTTTAAGACCTTTAACAAACCCGCTTTAAATTTAAGATTCTGTTGAATTATCGAAGAGGAACATTAACAGACCACCCGAAATTAGTAGCAATAACTCCAACCAAAATAAAAGTTCATCAAATTTTCTACGATAATTCAATGAAGGCGGTTTTATAGAATCAAGGCTGAAATTTAATTAAAAAAAGCTGACCACAACAGCGCTATCCCCCATAAAAGGTGTCATATCCAACCGACGAGGAAAGGAGAAAGCCTGATTAGATTTTACCGCAACCTGTCTCTCCCAATCAAAGCCAAATCTCTTGAGTTGAAGGCAGAGAACGGGGGGAAGGGAGTTGAAAGTGAGACGCTTGAGGGTTCGCTGCTTCATTTGGCATCGCTCGCAGAAGTAGGCATTGTCTCCATCTAGGACTTCTTCTCGGGTGTATTGGCGCATTGCCTCCAGTAAATCTCCTGTACACACCGTCAGATTGATGGCCGAAAAAGACTGCTCTCGATTGTAGCTGAAATTATGAAAAACGAACATCTTCATATCAAGGGATGAAACGTCAACTGTAGTTTTATATCCTAAAATGCTCATAGTACGATTATCCTTCAGATGAGATTTCATTGAGATGCTCAATAACGCTTAAAAGAATTATCTTTTTCAGATCATTGTTAAATGCTTATTCCCATGTTTTGTTTATCTTCAATTTAGTAAACAACGACACTTTAAATATGGCCGCTAATTTATTGAACATTCATAGTTAGGCAAGAAATGGTAAAAAACGATATCTGTAATTCACAATTAAAAGGGAATTTCGAAGGCGTTATTTTACATAAGTGAACCACTTACAATTAGTCCTTTAGAAAATTTAGCTTTAATTTGTTCTTAAATATATTTATTATATATATATATATATATATATATATATATATTAAATTTCACCTCATGGCCCTAACCATCTATTAGATGAGCTGGGCTAATATCTGTACTTTGCGATAAAGTTAAACTACCCATTCTTTAATTATTAGTTTGCAAAATTTTGCCAAAAGTTTCCCGTTTTCGTTTAATTACAAGAGAATTCAACTTTTGAATGGAAAAGAAGTTAACTTGGAAACTGCAATCAGCAAATCATAAGAAATTGATTTCACGTTGTATTTCGTAATTTAACACAAAGAAGTAAATTTTTGAATGAAACAACTGTCAGATGTGCTTTAACTGCGACTTAAATGTAAACATCAAGGTTTCAAAAATTCTACATTTCACTATTATAATAAAAGTTTAAAATTGCATTTAAATTTTAAATAATCATAGCACCGGCGTTAAAAAGCGGTTACTTCGTTTCCCCAAAGGCAGTGATATTCTAAAATATACCAAAATACCATACAAAACTTTCCTTTTCACACTGGTTCATAAGAAAGCATTTTTAATGAAAAATGTTTTATCATTTTTAAATGAGTCAACATTCATTGCGAATCGATAAATACAAAGTCACATGAACGATGGACATCCATATTGTTTAATTCGGGCTAATAAAATTGATGACAAAATTCAACCTACCCACTGGGAGACCTCTATTAACACTAAATGAAATCGGTACTTATTAATGAATTTTACTAAAAGTTACTTTCCTTGAACAAGTATCTAATCAAAAAATTTAATTACATTTATGTGTCTAGAGTGAATTGTGTCCAAATTTACTAAGTGAATTATATGAGATAATTGTATTCAAAACAAGTATTTATTAGAAAGCACAGATTTCAAGTAATTAATTAATTAATTGCAAAATCTCCCTACCGATGGCCACAATCTTCGCAGTACATTGTATCCGAGAGGAGTCCATGGAACATCCTTGAAAAGAATGGCATGTCATTGAATTTCTGAAATAAAACATTAAAACAATTACCAAAGTAACTTAAAGCGTTACTAACCTCAAAACGTGTAAGTTGTTAAGCACCTTACAACGTTATTTTGCATCTAAATTATTGGAGACATGCACACGATACAATTCAGGGAAGGGATCATACAATTATGATTTTTTAACACGAGCTCTCCATCTGGTAAATATTGTACAACCCAAATCCATAGTCAAGTGCTTCCGTAGTCACTTCCTCTGTGCCTCTTCGATCACATTGTGCTCCAGGATTTTTTGTGCGCACCAATATTGAGTTAAAAAATTATTGTGAAGAATAATTATAATCAATATAATCTGTTTTCTCTCTTATTCAAAATGTCATACTTTTAATGAATCATTCGAACCAAATAACATGGTGTGAATTATTTGCAATAATGAGAAACATTGAGATACTAACTAACATTGATTAACAGCACAAAGTATATATATATATATATATATATATATATAAACCTGTATGAACTGAACTGTAGGGAATAATCGCTTAAGCAATAACAGAAAACAAAGCCACAAATCCAATGGTGATTTTGATTTTTCATTGTTAATCGTTCTTTGACTGAAATAAGACAAATTTAAACGATTTAATTTTCCATTAACCTTAGTTCTCAAAAAATTATTGACCGAAATACAAGCCTAGAAAGTAAAGCTACAAAAAAAACCAAGTTCTAGACACTGTCTTTCTAACTAGAAGTAAAATTCGTCTTAAAAATAGGAATTAATTATAAAATGCCTATGTCTATTTCAGTGGTAATCATGCCATGATATGGGAACCTTTTGTTCGCCTTCCCCCTCCCCCCCCCGACTTCATCATTCATCAAAATTTAGAAATTTTGCCAGGGTTTTTGTTTTAAAATTAAAAACAAATTTTAACCTGCCAGAATCAAAATTTACCTTAATTCCTTCATCGAGTTGATCGATCAGAGACTGGAAGAAGTCAAAGGCATCTTGTTGCTCATGGGGATCAATCGGAGTGTCCATATTCCACAATTTGAATGCATTCCAGAAATGTACTGGATCGTAGTACTGGAGTTGAGAGAATAGGAGATTCAAGAAGAGCTACAAGATCAATAGTATCTTGCAATTATCGTCTCTATAGTTAAATAGGTAACACCAAAAATCTATACCTCCTGCGTTTGGTATAAAAGACTATTTTCATCCAATTTGGATGTTGGAACATCAAGAATAGCCTCCGCAACGCCAGGCTGCATGAATAGCTGCTGAAGTACCGCATTCATATAGCACGTTCCACCGCCATTTCGAAGTCCAGTAAAGTTGCAAGCAGCTCGACCTCGAAGAGATGGTTTATAATCCCACATAATTGAAGTTGACGCTCCAGTATTACTGTCAGTGGCGAATGTCAGTCCTACAGAATCACGCCGATTCGCACCAGGTGAAAGGTTCATTGAGGAAGCTATAGAGTGTGACTGTCTGGATTCTTCTGGAAGATTCTGATGATGCAGTCGAACAAGGAGATTAACAGTCTAAAGAATGTGAATTACATTGTCAACTTGCAAAAAGAGGTACTTTATATTTTCAAATTCAAGTAAAGTTACACTCTCAAGGCTTTGAAAATCCATTCGAGCAAGGAAGAGGAGTAGCATAAAGGCCTCCTGGCGAGCGTTTCCATCCAATCTTTTGGACGGGGGCTGGAGAAGTGTGTTACCACGAATGGGTTTGTCTTCAGCGTTGCTTGTAGGAAGTGTATAGTATTCCTCACACATAGTGTTGGCGACTGGGAACATATAGTTGGTTATGAGAATAGGAACGAGATCTCTCATAAGGTGGATACAATTTGTCACCAACGTTGTCAACTTTGAATCGGAAATTGAGAGGGTTGATGATTGAGAAGTAAGATTTTGAGCGGATTTCGGAATTGGAGGAGGATCAGAACCATCTTTGTTCTAGATAAAAATTATTAAAGCTCTAAAATAACAGGATAAACATAAACATATAAAAAGGAAATTAGTAGCCTTTCAAAGAAACATATTCCTCTACAACTAGGACGATGTGAGTTTTAGCAATTTTCCCATACATACACACTTGTGCCACGGATCATACTTATCCTTACCTTCTTCGTTAGCTAATTATTTCTTTATCATTGTTTTACTATCGTGCACAAATTAACGCGGATAATATAAAACGAATAAAGACACCGAGAGTAACATTAAGGTTTCCATCAATATTTACTAAATTGGCGGTTCATTACATATACTTAACCAATAAGCAATCTTCAATCATCGAAAATAATTAACCTTTTCCTTCCTATTTCCAGCCAAAAGGAATGAAGGTGGCGCGAGACCACGACAACCGGTAATATGACGAGCGCCACTTCCCCCGCCCACAGCTTCCAAAACGGCAGTGCTCGAAAGTCCTGTTGAGTGACCTCCTGCAGAGGGAGTAATGCAGCCAGCACCCCCAGAACGCGATTGGTTGGCGCTCCGACCGGCCACCATGGCGATCAGCTGTATACAGGCCATTCGGAGGAAACAGAGGTGGCCATTGAGGAGGGCACAGTCTAGCATAGGCAAGGTGACATCGTCCCAAAATTGAGCCTTAGAATGCGTGTGAGCAAAGTCCTTGAACCACTGGATTTCACTCTGTTTTTAGTAGAACAAATTGTAAAAATAGTTGAAATATTTTCTTTAACATCTATATTAACGGAAGAAAATCCTTAACGACTACTTTCGAATAATCTATTGATTTCTTCACGAATTCGGTTCATTTTGACATACCATTTTGAATTATGAAGTTTAATTGAACTCAATGAAGGGAAAAACAACCTTTGGTTTAAAAATTGTTTAATTAAATAAACAAATTTCATTTAATTAATGATTTCCCTGGTCTCAATCACGCAGATTACAAAATTAGCCTTGACTTTATAGCTTCTTAGTATGTTTATTAACCTCTAGTTCTCAAAAATTTTGCAATTTTAATAGTAATATGGCGTATGAATAAGTTTTCTACAAAGAGATACAAAATATGTTTGTATGTTTGAAGATTCGTATCATTCTTTCCATATTTTTCATATAAGTGGCCACAAGTTTGACAGTGATTATCGAGCGATATTCAACCCTGTATAAAGCCAAGATCATCAATCCGTCTTTCTTTCTGATTTCCGCGATTTGTTTTAATTATTAAAACACATGGACCGCATTTAAACAAATCTAAAACGCCATACGATAATAAAGCAGACAACTTTCACCAATACCGAAAAAATACCTGGAAGATTTAATTTTCCCAATGCTCTGTGAATATTTTTTTGAACATTCACTACAAAAATTTGTATTTAATCATTCTACTGAACAAATAGTCACTTTACTCGATCAATACACATTAGCTCTGTCTGCTTCACTAGTTCTGGCAAAGGAATATTTGAATGAGTTCAGGAGAAAGTACAAAGAAATTGCGCATAAAACTCTTTGTAATCAAACCACCTTTTCGTTCCAATTTATTGTGTTTCAAACCGACAAATTCTCTGTGTGAACAATCCAAACCGAATGCTCATCGGAACACTATGTTATCTAACTCCATTAAGAAATAAATAACGTTATTAAAGCTTTTCCTTTGTGAATTTTTGAATACCCTAACGAATTTATATCTCTGAGCAATAGAATGTAGATTGAAAATAGGAAATTGTGATGATATTAAAGTACTTATTTAAACAATTGATAATATTCAACTTTTAGTATGCCCCATTCTGTTAATTGTTTCCTTAGTTTCCTGAGGCAACTGAATGCTCTTAGGCGAATATCAATAAAAACCTTTAATGGACAGATAACTACTAAAACAATCTAACTAAAAGACCATCTTACCTCGAAAATGGCCACGTGATTCTGTCCAGCATACTCTTCCAGACATCCCTCGTCTACTAAACCAAAGATGCGTCCTCTCAATCTGAAGAACTCCGAACAGTGCAGCATAATGTTCTTCTCTTCATTATCTACCAGTGTACTCAATTTATTCGTTGTCCAGAAGGGTGGAAGAAGAACTTTGCTGTTCGAAGACGAGGAGCCTTTCATCATTCCAGATTCCCGAGGAATGCGGAAAAGAACATCAAGAAGAATATCAATGTATGCGTTCTTTCTGGCCATTTGGAGGGAAAATTGGTCAAAACCGTAGGGCGGTGGACTGGCAGAATGAGATGTTTCCCAGGCAAAGAGTTGACAACAGGGCTCCACCCCAAATGACGTGGTTATTGACTGGTGTTGATGACCAGCGAAGAGATAAAGAAGCTGTTTTAGTTGTTGACACGTCTCTGTGCGAATCCTAAGAGTAAATAAGAAGATATTTGAACTCGAAAATTGAGTAACGGCGTTAGTGCCTACAAATAAGCAGTAATAAAGAAATTTATTGAGTACAAAAAAACCCCGTTGACTCTCCTTCAATTCCATAATAGAATTGTACGACAAACTCATAAATTTATCGTATCGTAATTTAGGATTTATAATCCGAGATTCCACATATTAAACTTTGCAATGAATTCTTCTTTGCTTTACTGATAAAGCTTGAAATGTAATTTTTACATGTCTGGTTCAAATACATAGAGGAGTTGCAAAAAGGCCTATTCACCAAATAGATAAAAATGTAACCTCCAGCAAAAATTTAATTGCTTCTAGAATATTTCATTGAGTCCATTGGAGAAGACTAGTTTTTGTCATTTGAGTATACTCATAGCATGCGCTATAAATTGATTAGCAAGGTAGAAATGATTAAAAGTTCTACTCAATGCTCCTTCCATTCTTTCCTAAAAGAATAAAACAAATAATAATTGTATTATTACAATAATAATGGTAATATTTAATTACCTGAGAGATGGAGAGGTGACTAGAAGTCGAATGATCGAGCCTCTGAGATCGGGCATCTTCACAAATGGACACATGAAGAACGATGAATAGGAATAGACACATTGGCACAAGAGTCGCGTGCTTTGTACAGCAATCTACAAAATTTACAAGTGAAGAAATGTGGGATAAGATACATAAGTCCAATTCGTGGATTCCAATACGAAAATTATTGTTGGTAACAGTTCGGGAAATGACAAGAAATGCTGCTACACTAAATACGGTATGCGAATTTAAAAGGTTTGGGGATTTACTAACATTTCATTTTATGCAAAAAATCCTCAATTATTAACTTTAGGAAAACAAAGTAAATATAATAGTGAAATGTGTTAAACACTCCCATAGAAATGTTCCAGATCAGATTTTGCTGTTTAGATGGCGGAAGCCCGAGAAACGGTAAGGCAGAGAGGTGAAAAGGGCTTTGCTTCATCAGGTTCATGGTAGTTAAGCCTTTGTGAAGCTGCTGGAAATTGAATCACAGTCTATGCCTCAATTAATCAGTCTATTCTCATTTGCGGATTGAATTAATGTCAGTTGTATTTAACTCCATATGTCTAGATTTTAAATTACCATATTCACCGTGTGGGGTGAGCAATAGACTTACCTCCACGTTGTGCATCCTGGGCAACGCATACTCATACGGCAAAAAGTCTGTTAACCGGCAGTTGACTCCGAACTATCACGACCACTTTGATGTTCCTTTCCTCTGTGAAGACCGAAGTCAGCTAAAGGGCTAATAATAACTACCGAAACGCCAGCCGTTTGATATAAATAATTATTCACCGTGTATCAAACTATCAACGTTTCTTTATATGAAAAAGCTAAGTAAACTGGAGATTCAAGGTGAATTTGAAATGTGAAATGAATAGGCATTAACGCTCTGAAGGGTAAATCAAAGCACACACATAAGTGTTATGATGCAAGTCTGCTACAGTCTTTCAGAGGGTAAAAGAAGAGCACACATGGAGTCAGCCCCTCCCTACATCACCCCCCCCCCCCCCAACTAGTCTTGAATATCATATTCGAAACTGCATGCCAGACACTGGAGAATGTAAGCTAGAATGGTGGGTTAACACCCGGGCCCCACTCCAGTCGTTTAAATTAACGCAACTTGGACCGAATCAGAACTTGAGTTGATATTAAAGTCACGGATCAAGTAAATTCAATGACTACCTTAAATTGCTTACTCATTACCCACTAAAACACAGGAGACTTAGAAGTGAAATTTCCGAATTAAAATCCAGGGCCATGTAATGCATGAATTTAATTGCGAAGTAATATCAACTGTTGCAATACTGTGGATATGAAAATTCCGCGAAATATGACATCTGTTGAGGCGTAAAAGCTTATGTCGAGGCAGATACTATTCTTAGATTACTTGAGGAAGAGGGATGTTCTTCCTCAGGAGAAAATACTTTTTTTCTGAAACTCCTCCTTTTCCTTGGCACAGATTTTTTCTAGCGCAATACTGAAGTAAGCACAAATTTCAGGGAGTGTGTCTCTGGCAGACACATCCCTGAAGTATTCTCAGTGCTTACAATTTATGCTACGTATATCATATAGGCGACTATTGGTCACTTGACAGCTTAGATATCGATCCGGTGATAACGCAACCTGTCTTTCCCCCTTCTTCAAATATTGAACCATTTACCTCAATAACCATAATATCATTTCACATCATTTCCTTGCAGTAAGTGTATTCCACAATCTCGATTTTAGAAATAAAAGAAGGATTTAAACCAAACCATTTGTCAAATTATTTCAGCCATCTACTGCCCATTTTCTGCTAACTTTTCTATGCATTCATCATTCAGGTAGAGGATGATCATTCCTCATTCCTCAACAACCACCACCAATTTCAGATAATTGGTTAATAAATAGGTAACAAGTGGGTGAGTGGAAATTACCTCGACATCCTGACACGTAAGAGCATACGAAGTTGAGCTGGTCAATGGATCTAGAGCGTTAGCAACCCCCGCATGACTTTCGTTTATGGGCAACAAGCCTCGACGCTTCTGTTTCCTTTGAGTATTCGAACTATTCGTGCCTCCTTCAACGCTGTGAGAGAGACAATCGCCTGGTTGTCCATCGCACGCGTTAGTCGCACTAGCCAGGGCTGTGTCCATCAACACGGAGAGCAACTTGGGTGCGAATTCGGGTTGCATCAATGTTGAGATTGAACTGTAGCTGGATGAGAAACTTGATGACCGCGAGTCTACAATAAGTTGGAAAATAATGAATGCTAAATTTCAAAAAACCTTGGTACAATTAACTACACAACTGAATGTGTGTGACCTTGGGCTTAACTTGTCCCCCACTTCAACACCAAAAAATGTGGCCCCATTCATATGAAGCCCATACTGCATGCGATTCTGAAAATGTGAATCGCTTCAGCCTCTCATCCCTGTCATACTACTATTGGCATCTTGACAGTTAGTCACTTTATGCTAGGCGAGGGAATGTGGCGATTTGGCCTTAAGGAGTCAGCCGATTAAAAAAATGCCTTCAAATATGCCAACAACCTTTTTAAGTCGGAAAGATGTTCTGGAAATTTTGTCCATCTATCTCCATCCTATTTGCTAAATAGGTAGGGTATGAACTAACTATTCAGGGATCAATTTTAAATGTTCTTTCACTTAGACGAAATTGTGTCCATCGCGATTCATTTTCCTTCTTGTGTATTAAGGGGGGGGG